GCACATGGATCTAGTTTGTTACGCAGTACTTTGGGAATATGGACATAAACAGTGAGCCAAACACACGAGGCTCAAGATTGGGAATATGTGGAACTGAAAGTAGTGATTCAAACTTCTGTTGCGGAGTCACAAATTTGATGACACTATAAGGGGTACTAATCAAATAAGCAGCAGAGCAAACAACTTCACCCCAGTAAAAATGGGGCATATTCATACCAAAGAGAGAAGCACGAACAACCTCTATAAGTTGTCTATTCTTCCTTTCGGCCAAACCATTTTGCTGTGGTGTATAAGTACAAGAGGTCTGATGTCTAATTCCCTTGTCATTCAAGAATTGCGTAAAAGATTTATCTGTATATTCGGTCCCATTGTCAAACTGTAAAATTCGGATCTGGCATTGAAATTGAGTGGCTACCATTCGGTGAAAGGTTTGGAAGGCTGTAAATACATCACTTTTCTTATGCAACAACATGACCCATGTCATTCGAGTACATTCTTCTATAAATGTCACAAAGTATCGAGCTTTAGACAGGGAAGGGACACCAACTGGTCCCCAAACATCCGAGTGAACAACTTCAAAAGGAATTGAACTTTTATGACTACTAGGAGAATAAGAAATACGATGGCTTTTCGCTAGTTCACATGTGTTACAATGGAAATCATCAATATTCAAACTAGAAAATAATCTTGGGTGTAATTTTTTCAAATAGCCAAAAGAGAGATGTCCTAGTCTTTTATGCCAAAGCCAAATTGTTTCTCGAGCCTTATCTTCACTGCTGGCATGATTGACCTCTCCCAATTTATTCTATCTCTTTCCGGTGACATCCAGATAATAAAGTTTGTCTCACTTAACACCATAGCCAAGAGTCTTCCGAGTGGAAATGTCCTGGAACACACAAAATGAGGGCCAAAAGGTGACAGTACAGTTCAAGGTATTAGTAAGTTGTGTTACAGAAAGTAAGTTATATTCAAGGGAAGGGACAACCAAAACAGAAGTCACATGAAGATGTTCAGACAGGATAAGAGATCCTTTACCAGTGATAGAAGAGGTACTACCATTAGCAGTAGAAATGAATGATTGGGAAGAAGGGAAAAAATAATGCAACTTACTAGAATCCTTTATCATATGATCAGAAGCTCCAGTGTCAATTATCCAAATATCATCTCTAGAACATGCAGGAAAAAAAGGAGTTTTACCAACAGTACCCGTGTAAGCAGCATTGATAGTGGGCTGCTGGGGACTTTCATCAGAGGTAGTGACCATTGCTTTATTGTGAGACTGATTTCGCAGTCCCTTCGCTGGATTAGAATAGAGGCTCTGATACCATGTTAAAAATCAAAGAACTCTATAGAATAGTAATTCATTTTTTTTCTTCAGAAATTAAATCTTTCCAATTATAAAAATTATACAACTCAACACCCACCTACATGTGCGAACAAAGAAATTCTACTTGAAAGAAAGTGGGGGCGGCAAAGATCGAACCCGGGACACGAGGCTCTGATACCATGTAAAGAACCTTGGGATACACCACCCAAAAGCTAGCTCAAAGGGTGGGAATGCCCAAGGCCTTATAAAGGTCACATTAGTTGCTTATACAACCACAATGTGGGACTATATATCTCAACATACCCCCTCACACGAGAGCCCATTAGACTTGAAGCGTGGATGATGCAACAGGCTCAGCCTACCTGTGCTAAGAAATTCCACAAGAGAAAGTGGGGGGCGGCGAAGTTTGAACCCGGGACACGAGACTCTTATACCATGTAAAGAACCTTGGGATACACCACCCCAAAAGCTAGCTCAAAGGGTGAGAGTGCCCAAGGCCTTATAAACTTCGCATTAGTTGCCCATACAACCAATGTGGGACTATATATCTCAACACGCCCCCTTACACGAGAGCCCATTGGGCTTGAAGAGTGGACAATGCACAGGCCCACCTACCTGTGCGAACAAAGAAATTTCATTACAAAGAAAGTGGGAGGCGACGAGTTTCGAACCCGAGACATAAGGCTCTGATACCATGTAAAGAACCTTGGGATACACCACCCCAAAAGCTAGCTCAAAGGGTGGGAGTACCCAAGGCCTTATAAACTCCACATTAGTTGCACATACAACCAATGTGGGACTATATATCTCAACAATAACTCTGATTGCAATTGTAACTGCTTGGCAACAACTTGTACTTTTTCATTTGAAAGGCAACAGCTTCCATGATTGGTGAAGTATTTGGAAATTCTTTGATTCCCTTTTCAATGGTAGATTAGCAATTTTTCATTCATTTTTATCAACTTTCTTTTTTACCATGAATTATGGCTATGGTTGAATTATTGGACTTCTACACGGGTGAAATCATCATATATGGCTAGGAGTTAAGAAAATGCGGTTTATATTCCTCGTGTTACAAGAAAAAAGAAGTTTTTTTTCTACAGATACAATAATAATGAGTGAGAAAATGGAATCAGAAGAGAGAGAAAAAAAAGACTAAGGGGTTATTGGATTAGAATTTAAAAAAAAAAATTGAAATAAAAAATCTTATAAATTGTAAAAGACTATTTAGAATTGGAGGAATATTAAAGACTTTTTTTACAATCAAGATTTCGTAAGATTGATTTTAAAGGATTTTAATAGAATTTATAAGATTTGAAAGGATAATATGAATCTATAAAATTTTAAAAAATCATATGCATTTTTAATCGACATTCAAAATAACATGAGTCAATAAAAAAATAACAAAAAGATGCAATGATATTAATAAAAAAAGTAAAATCTAATGTAATTTTTTCAATCAGTAAAACATAATATAATTTTTAACAAACATTCAAAATTACTAAGCAACAGCTCTCCACATATCTAAAGTTATATTAGTCCTCCATGTATTAACATTTTCTCGTTCCTGCTCTTGAATTTGACCAATGAGTTGAAAATTATCTTCTTCATTAGGTATCAGAGTTATACATATATGATTATAAGATCCGATTTTTTATTTATTTATAAATAATTCTAAATTTGCATATAGAACCTAAAGTTCATGATAAAATTTCGTTTGAAATTTTTTGCAATTGATCTTGGAAACCTTAGGGGTTTTGTTCTACGTGATGAGAGTTTTCTAACCATATATCATATGCATGTTTTCATTGAGTATTTTAAGAAAATTTCGAAATTCAGATTTTTATTACACGAAACTTTAGAAAAAAATTCAAATTATTTTCAATCGATACATTGAAACCTTAAATTGCTTTGGGACTTTTGAAAAATAAGTTTTTAGTTACCTATTAACACAAAAATTGTTTGAAATCGTTTCCTATAGCGAAGAAATTTCGTTTATGAATGTATTGTTACGGAATATAGTGTTTATATTATGAAAGTTTCAATATTTCTTTAAATTGATCTTGTTTCATGGATGTAAAAAGAAAATTGGTTTGAGGGCTTTAGTTCCTCTATTGTTTCCCCATTGTTGTATGTTGTTTTAAATACAAAAATCATACATTTGTGCTAAGAAAAATCATGACCCATAACTTAAAAAATTATTTTTTCAACTTACAAAATCTCTCAAAAATCTGTTATTTATGAGATAGATTATATTAGAATATTGTTGATGTGTTGTTTCTAGGTTATTTTGTGATGAAAATCGCTCAAAAATAAGTTGTTTTTAGCTTTGACGAAGCTCACATGGCGGAACCCGATTTCGAGCGGGTCAACATGGCAAAGGAAGAAGAAGACATTGCAATAGAGAAATCTTAAGAAATCCTAGGAATTATGGTGAGATTATGAGAGAGGCATCCTATTTATATTTCTCACTAAAAGATCTCACGAAATTCACAACAATAGAAAATTCATTAAAATCGTTAGATTTTTGAATAACACAAGATTATTTTTTTCTTTGTTTAAAATCCTTATTGAATACCAAAAGATTTGAACAGACTCTAAAATAATCTTTTAAAATCCTAATCGAATACCTCGCAACTTTTTTTTAATCCTTTAAAATCCTAATTGAATACCAATATATTTTGTTGTCCAAAAACAATTTATTAAAATTCTTTGAAATCGCAATCTGATACACCCCACTAGGACCTCATATTTTACTATATTTGCATGAAAATATCTTTACTCCTGCAATATTATTCTTATATAATCCTAAAATAATTCGTCTTAACCTTTCAAAATATATTGAAAAAATATTTCTTATATAATCCTAAAATAATTCGTCTTAACCTTTCAAAATATCTCCTCCTCTTGCAACATTTTTTTATACAATCCTAAACAAAATTTCTACTTTTCCTGTTGAATTATTTTTGTCATATTGAGCTAAAAGTGAATGGGTTTTATTATATTGAAAAAAGAGAAAAAAAAATAGTAGGATATAATGGAACAATTACTTTTATTATATTAAAATAATAAATTATTTTTTTAATTTTTTTAATTCATATTCGGCCTAATATATCTATATGCGCCAATAAGTGACCTTTTTGTCACGTTTGGACAAAAAAATTATCAGACTGTCACTCCAACAGTAAATTTTGTCAAAATGTTACGCGGGATAATTCGCTACACAGTGTAACGAAATATGCCACGTCAGAATAAAAAATGTCACATGTCAAATTTTGAGAAATTAGCTACCCTATGTAGCGAATTTCTCAAAATTTGTCATGTGACATTTTTGGTTCTGTGCATTCTGACGTGGCATATTTCGCTACACTGTGTAGCGAATTACTTGCATGCATAATTCGCTACACTGTGTAGCGAATTATGTCGCGTGACGTGACAGTCTAGTAAATTTTTTGTCGCACTTTGGTCACTGTCACCCAATAAGTTGGTTATGTTTATTCGTTTATTTTTTAAAATTAGATCATAATAAGTCTATAATTTTAGCTTCCACCAAATTAACATGCCAAACTAGATTCAAAATATTTCCGTAAATAGGGCCTTACAACAAATTCAAACTTTGACCCAACTTACGGATACATCAAGTATTCGTTTTGGCAACTAAACCCTAGTACAAAACACTCTTATTAGTGAAGAAGAATCGGTGTGGTGTGGTGTGGTAGCAAATCGAGCAATGGGAGGAGTTTTGCTTGGCATGCCGGGGCCATGGGCTGAAGATTATCACGAAGCATCTGATCCTTATACAACTAAAATTGGAGGACTCCCTGTAAGTCTTCTCATGACTCATCTGTAAAACTAAAACCGTACACAATTCTGATTCTGTTATTGCTTCTGTTTCTGTTACCCTAAGTTTGTTATGTTTCAGTCACGTTCTGATTCTGTTACACAAGTCAGTTATGTTTCAGTTAGTTGTTAGCTTCCACCATAAGTAATTAAACCTATTGTGTTATCAGGTGTACTCATGAGTTGTATATAGTTCAGTTTTTTGATTCAATGAAATTCACCATTCGTTACAGGACTGGCCCCTTCCCATTAATGCCGAATTGCTACGCTGTGCTGCCTGTGCCTCTAGGCTCTGCCTTGTTGCACAGGTTCATGCTCCTACCTCTCAACAACGCATTCTTTTCATCCTCGGTTGTGTTGCGCCCAAATGCCGAACCAGCTGGCGAGTTCTTCGCGTTCAGAAGATTGGTGACGTTGACAATTCTCAACAGAAACAAGTCTCTGAGACTGCCTCGTCCGGTGAGGTTCGAAATAGTGATGATGATGATGAAGGTGACATGGATTTTGAAGAACTAGGCAGGGCACTCTTTGAAGCTGGGACTTTGGCTTCTAAGACTAAAAGCAAAAAACGGCGGAGAAGGCGCCGAGACAAACTCCCTGCTGCATGTTCTCCGTATCCAAGAGTTACAACAGTAGTTGATAATGATATGCCAGGTAAAAAGATGCAAAAATTATGCAGTATATCTTATGCCAATTCATTTATGCGCATACAAAATGATCCCTTGGTTACGTATATAAAATTGTGCTAAAATTGCTTTAATTGGTTCGTGTGTTGGTTGTTTTCAGTGGCGCCTTGCTTTTATATATACACACAGGAAGAACAGTCTTCAGGGCCTCTTAGTTCTGTATGTTTGAAGTACTCATCACTTTCTATTAAGAAGGATGAAATTGATGTTGAGGATCATTCACAAGCAGAAGAAACTTGGGAAAAGGAACATTATGAATATGATAAAGCTTTGACTGCTGATAGAACATACCTCAAGTTCAAGAAAAGATTGGATGCATATCCTGAGCAGTGTTTCAGGTATGTACCAAATGACGCATTGGAGTGGATTGTAGAGTTAAATGCACCTGCCCCACCCTTATCACTTATTTTGGTCTCAATTATCAATCCCTTGTTTTAGTTTAAATTACTTGTCAAGGATTGAGACCAACCCATTGTCTTCTTTGAAGGTGTAAGAATTGTAGAGACTAGAGCAGTAGTGCCAGGGCGATAAGGTTGGCTTATAGTTTCAATTGGAGAGCGTATGATTTTGATGTAGCATGTTAAGTACTGATCAAAGAGGCTATTTGCTCAACCTTTACCAAGATATATAATTTATTTCTAGTCATTGTACTGATTGGGAGTTGCAATAGTTCTACCTGCTTTTTGTGAACATGCAATAGTAATTATATAAATCCACCTGAGTTGAGGAAGTTGGAGAAAGTTTGGTTTCTCCATCAATTTTTCTCTTTGTGGCTCTCTTTTGATGAGTTCTAAGGTTATTTTAATACATCCATTTATCAATGCATTCATGCTATCACTCTATTATTAATATTTTTCATAGAATCAAATCTTTCCTTTTCTTTGCTTCTCGTTCTTCCCATTTTTGGGCTTAAGGAACCGTAACATACTTTTCTTATCATTCCTTTGTGCAGATACTCATATGGTGGGAAGCCAATTTTAGCTGCAGCTGGTGAAATAAACCCTGGCAGCTGCAGGCTTTGTGGCAAACCAAGGCAATTTGAGATGCAGCTAATGTCTCCATTAATATACTTTCTGCGTGAAGCACTTGATGATGACCAAAGACAGATGTTGGAAAACTGGGATTGGATGACCCTTATCGTATACACTTGTTCTGAGGTTGGTATTCTGCTATTGCCAGTTGATATATATAACTATTCCTTGCCCTTTTACAAGTTTGACAATATAAGAAAGGGTTAATAGTGAAAAAGTTGTTAGATGGCAATGTTATCTATTGTGTGTGCCTGGCTAGTTATATCAGGGCAAATGCTTACTTGACGGCGATAAGAAATAGAGGAAATTTCTGGGTTTGCCTGCTTCAGTTGGTTATACTTATTAAAAAGTGCACCCCCTTCCTGAACTTGGTTGTCTGTCCAACCTTATTACCCCTTCATATTATTAGCTTTAGTTGCTATATTGCCTCCTTTAGACATATGCATTTTCTGATTTTCATTTAACTATCTTCGTCATGTTTCATTGAATGGGGGAGTATACATGTTTTGCTATGTATATAGCAATTTGACCAAAAAATCGTTTAAGTTTTGTCTGAATAATGTACAGCTCTAGACAACAAGATTTTACTGAAAGGATATAAGTTTATCTTCATGGAGAATAGAGTGTCCTGTGAACTTGTCTTTTTGTGCATGTTAATGTTCTTATCTCTTGATTTTCTCAGAGTTGCAATGAAGAGATGGAGCAAGCAAAGTCCAATAGTAATGGCTGGATTGTAGTTGAGGAGGCAATTGTAGCTCAATATGAGGAATCCATGCCCATTCCGCTTGGCTATTTCTCATGATCATTGGCGTTGCTGTAAAGAGTACAATACATTTCATGCATAGAGTTCGCTTGAGAAGTTTGAGGACACAACAGCACATAAGTTTGAAGGTATTGAGAAATTTTAACTTAAAGAAAAGGTATTGGAATTGTATTCTACAATGAAGATTTGGTGAGGTGAGTTTTTGTCTGGTGTGCTGGTGAGTTTTTGACCTTCTGACCCGATTACCCAGCTCTTGGCTCGAGCTGTTGAGCAACAAGATGGATGCTGCATCTACTTTCTTCCCAGGTCTTTCTAATTGTTTAACAACCAGATAAAGAAGTTTCACTCATGAGTCATATGCTAATGGCTGGTCAAGCACTCATCCATGATTACATCATCATGAATGTCTCAATTCTTCATGAAATACCCATCCATCCATCCATGATAGATTTTCCGTTTTTTAAGAAGCAATTCATATTTATTGCAGATAAGTGATTCTTATTTGAGTTTGTTGCAGATAAGTACACAATTTGATCTCTGAAAGATAATCTTCATGTGTTTTTAATTCCTGACATATTATGTTGGTCTTCAAAAATGCTAATAAAAGTGCTCACATGAAACGTAACGTGTCAAATCAGCTCTTCCATTAAGATTTTTGAAAGATCAACTTATTGTACGAATAACGTGTCAAACCACCCACACCAGGTTCAGTTTCTGCCTCACCCACTTCCCTGAACATCAGAAGCGATAGTTGTATAGTTCTTTCATGAGAAATATAAAAGAGTAAATATATCTAGTTCTTAACAAAAAATACGATTTTTATTTTACTCCTTTACAAAAATAAATTAATCTCGAGGTCTTTAAGAAATTCAAAATGGATTCATTTAGTTGAAATTGTGGTCCTTCACAAATTCAAAAAAGATCTATATTAGTTCCTCAAAAGGACTAAAATGGGTCCATTTTGAATTTCACAGAATCAGACAATTAATTTATTTTTATAAGAGACTAAGGTGAGAATCGTATTTTTTGTTAGGGATCCAAAATGATATTTACTCGATATAAAATAAAATAAATTCAAAAGGGTGTCTAAGAACCTTTGAACTCACTCAAAATTTGGAGGGGGAAACTGTATCTACATATTCTGTATTGAACACTTGTTGGACCTTTTCAGTAGAGAAATTGTATCCACCAGTATCTTGGAAAGAAGAGGTGGTTTTGAGCAACATTTTGGACATCCTCTCGAAATGACTAAGACGCAGAAGAGAATAGAGAATATGGTTGTTCTGCTGAAATTGTCCCATCTAACAAGTCATCAATCTTCGATTGCCACAATCCATTGCTTGTTGAGAAGGTCTCACACTTTTAGCCTAATATGACAAGGGATGATGATAATAGGGGGTGTTTGGTAGAAGAGAAATTTTTATATATTTCAGAAATAATTAATACCGGATTGTAGTAGGAAATATATTTTTATTGGAATGTTAGTAAAAGGTTTATTGGAAATATATTTTTACCTGAAAATTTATGGTTAAAATTAGTGAGTGTGTATTTGGTTGATTGTTAAATATTAGTGGAAATATGAGGTTATTTTACCAAAATAACCCCTACTTTACCAACTAGAGGGAGGGACCAACAAATGCTATGCTTACCGTCGTACAATTAGCAAGGACAATTTGGTCTAACATTTCGCGGGTCTACTTCCACTTGCCAGGGCAGAAAATTTTTCTATATAATCTATGAAACTTTTGTGAGGGGAGTCGTACTGATTTTTTCGATCAATAACAAATTCCGGGAAACATTTCAACTCTGAAAAGTTGGTCATTTTAAGCTACCAAACATAGCATTCATATTAGTCCGACCAACGTTTCTCGAGAATACAAATATAATTCTGCTAACAAACACGCCCCTTTCCCTATTCAATGACTTTTTTTTTTTTTTTTTTTTTTAAAAAATCTTTATACAATGGTGGCACTAGAGTTAAAATCTATATCCTTATACAGACTATTAAGTCCCTTGCCACTAACCCACACCTTGACCTTGTGACACTTTATGATTTCGTTTTACAGCTACTTGACACTTGGTGCTGAACAGAATGTCTTGAATTTAAATTTCATTAAATCATAGAATAATGTTTTTTTAATAATTAATAGCTAGTACCATTGGAATATTTCACTTTCCACTTCAGCACTCCTTATTTACACCTTAGTCCTTATATATATGGTTAGGAAATTGACTCCGACAGAACTATAACAACAAATAAAGGAAATTGAAAGCAATAAATGCAATATTGAAATTTAAAATGGAAAAATCTTCAAACAAATCAAGGGAAAAAATCACGCCACAAGAGTAAAAAAATTTCATTATGGTAAATCCTAAAATTATAACCTTTCTGGACATAATAATTTTATGGGTTTTATAAGAGTTATGTTGTAGGAAAAATAATTGTATAATGTTATAGAGATTCGTTTTGCATGCTGTAATTTTCTTTTCTTTTTTCAAAAAGTGTGAGTCCCACAAAATATTGTGTATATAGAAAAGTTTGCTGTGTCATGTTAAATGACAAATACAAACCCCTAATTTTATCCCTCTTTATAGAAAAGAAAATGCTGTTGACAAACAATTTGAAGCCAAACGGTGGAAATATCCCAGTTGGCTTCAGTTCCAGTCTCAACAAGAAAAATCATCGTTTCTCATATTCAAGCATAGAAGAAAGAATTTGTAATGAGGACTTAATAGGGTCAGAAGAATAGCCGAATCAAATGTCATTAACCAATGATTTGGAAAAAATTCATAAATCCCCTTGTGATTTATTTTTTTATCACTTACATCTCTATTTTTTTTTTCTTATCAATTAACCCCTGCAATTTTTTCCCATTCAAATTCACCTTTAACATCATTAGTAAGTTAATTAACTTATTCATTTTACCCTTTTTTTTTTTTTTTTTTTTTTTAAGTTTGAAGATTCAATGCAGTAGCAAAGAACTCCCTAGCTCACGTTTACTTTTCAGTTGAATTTCGCTGTAGTCCACAGAGTCGGGATTCGTAATGGGTCTAGGGGGCTTAGGCTTCTATCTTCTTTTATGAAAGAGAGTTAAAACCATTCCCTTATTTGCGTAGATTTCAGGATTCATTCGCATTTATGCTATCCTCCAATGCCTCAGTGTCCTTTACTTTTTGACTATTTTTTTTTTCCATGTCATAGGAGATAATTTTATTTTTTACACAGACATATAAATGTGTTATTTTTTTTTCTTCTCTTCATATGGCCCCACACACTTTTTATATATGCATAGAAGATAAAATTATCTCCTATAATATAAGAAACATTAATTCTTTCTTTTTGTCATAGTCTGGAATTCTTTTATGAGGATTACTTCTCTCGTATGATAAGAGAGAAAATTCTCTTATGTTAAGAGACAAATCAAGTGAGGTTCACCAATTTTTATTTTTTTAAAAGGAGACTTTTTTTTTGACTTGAATACAACATAAGAGATCAAACATCAAACATAAGAATATGATTTCCCTTCTTTTATCCACCGAAAAGTAGCGGTCTTAATTTAAAGCTAAATTATCTACAAGAAGACGATATTGAAAGGTGCAAAGCTTGTCAGTTGGTTTTCCATAAGCGTTGCTTCAGAAAGGTTACAAATTGTCTTTGTGGGGCACAACCAAGATTGAATGAGACTAGGAGCTTGACCAACAGAGCAAGCCAAAGGGGAGGTTTATTGAAACAAGAGGAACTTTGGACTTGTTGGGCAGGGGACTGTGATGACTGTGATAAACAAAACCCCAAACTTAAAATAAGGGTAAAATAGGTAAGTTAATTAAATTATTAACCGTGTTAAAAGTAAATTTAGATGAAAAAAAATCACATAAAGGTAATTGATAAAAATAAGCATAGAGATGTAAGTGATAAAAGAATAAATCACATTACTTTTTATGTACAAAATCAACTAAGTTGATTTAGAGGCCAATTTAAGACTTTGAAAAAAAAAAAAAAAAAACCCTTCACTTTAACAGTATAATTTCTAAATCCTACTTGGTCCTTCTAATAATCCTCTTAATTAAACAAAATTACTCTCTGTTAAACCCCGAATAATAAAGATAGAAGTGAAAACAATCCGAATAATGAGGATAAAAGTGAAAGCAATCCTTGTACATAATACTACCCTTTCATAATTATAAGAAAATTGTTTTCCGAATTTAAACTCATGAATTTTTAGTGACAAAATAACAACTGTAAACTCACCCTCCTTAATCCTCTCAATTACAAAATGAAAAAAAATATTAATACGTTTTATCTTCTTACAATATCAAATGTATTTACTTTTTCATTTCATACTTACTTTATTTAGTATTGAGAAGATTATTAAAAGGATATTTTAAGACGATATAGCAAAACTTAACAAGAGTATTACTTCAGTATACAAGAGTGTTACTTGTCAATAGTCGGAAACGAAAAGCCATGTACGAAAGAATCGACCATATATCATTGATAAATTCTTCTCAAACTTTGAACAAATATCCTTTCCACTGTGAAAGCCTCATGAATCAATGGACACGTAACATGAAGAACATAGAATTTGTAACAAACATATAGCTTCATTCCATGCAAGAATACATGAGTGTATTACCTATGACTCATTACCAAATACAGAGATCCTCAGACATTAATATATGAGCGCTTTGTTCTGGTCGCAGCACTGGTTTCTGATGAATCAGACAAAGAAAACCTTGGGAAGCTATAGTTTTCAGAGACAGAAACTGGCCGTTGAGGATAAAGTGTGGGCGGTGGAGTGAGATTGCGTTGAGCTGGAAGAGGAGGAAGCATGTTATACTTGTAAGGATCACCGTTTCGACTGTAATCAACAATAAACTTTGTAAGGATTTGGGGCATATCCTGCAACTACCTTTCAACACAATGGTCTAAGATTTTTCCCATCTACATCAAACTAACAAGGCAGAACCAAACCAAAAATTTACATTTATGCATGAGTCTTTCCAAAGCGGAAAAATTAGATCAAGAAAGCATCATCCACACAAAGAAATTCCTGAGAGTAATGTTTTGTGATGATGACAAAAGCACCGCAACATGCTAGAATCAAAATGATTCCAAAGTCAAGTAGAACATACCTTGTAGTATAAGAATGATCATCTTCATCAATCAAATTTTCATCAATACGCTGGGTATTTCTCTGAACTGGAGAAACAGTCCATGCTGGTGCAGGTATTTCATCTGAGAAATATCTTCTCCTAATCAACTAAAAGGAGAGACACCAGAAAATTTAGATCATGCGCCGTGTACTAAAAAAATGATAAAGAAATCAAAGAAATACTGACCATATGGAAAAAATTTATGACAGCTTCCTTGTCATACCTTGCTTCTTTTGCAGCCTACAGATGTCCAACATATTGATCACAATTAGAAATACAGGTTTGTTCTATTCTTAGACAACAAAATAGAGATGACAACATTAAAATGTAATGTTTCAATCAAGTAATCCGTAATATCCAAATCTCTAAAGAAATACACAAGGTGTCTGATAGGAAAAAATTAGAAGGTAAATTCTACTGGTGTATCCAATTCAATCAACGAAAGTCACTATCTCATATTGGTCCTAAAATATCTGAACATCAGTACAAAAAAGTACAAGTAAAATTTTGAATTTACACAATACTGGCAAGTAGTTCAAACTCCCTAAGAATAAACATTCATTCAATTTTACCTCAACACAACATACCCATTTTCATTGGGTAGCTCATAATTCAAATTTATAGGGTTATTTTACACTTATTTATAATGTATTTTGCTTGTTTATTTAATTGTTTTGAATAAGAATTGACTTGCTTTTGTTCTTTAATTAATTAAGTATGATGGAATATATTTATATTCTTTTGGGTTATTCTACTAGAGAAAATGCCCAAAAATTGGAGTTATTGGGAAAGAACTTAATTGCAGCAAGGATTGAACTTGCCCAAAATCAATTTTAAGTAGCAGAATCTTGATTTTAAGGGTGATTTTTTAACAACTTTTTTGCGGCAAATTTTTTGACAATTTTCTCTGCATAAATTGGCCACAATAGGCTCAGCCTGGTAATCAGATTAGATTTGTAATTTGAAATTCAATTTCAAATTAAAATCAAATCTCAATCTTTATCGCAAGAGCATAATATAAGGAGAATACGGGCGAGAGACTACTAATAAGTATGAGAAGGATTGCTCCAGAGGTCGAAAACAGGGGAGAAGGCATTGAATCCTCATCTCTTCAATCATCACTCATCCAATAAGGGCAGAAGAGACACTATCAAGACTGGGGCATTGGACATAAGCCATTTAGCCAAGTAAGGGGGAATCTTCTTTCTTTCTCTCTAATCTTGCTTCTATGGATTGTAGCTCAAATTTGTTTTGTTGTTTCTTTTCTACCATGAACTAAACGTCTTATTCTGGAGCTTCAATATTGCCTCGCCCCTTAGGCCTATTTTATTCCCTTTTAATTTATGGATTTGACTGTTTATTTCAATCTTGTTCTTAATGCTTCTGCATGATCGATTGTTATGGTAGATTTATTCACTAGATGGTAAATCACATGATTCTTATAAGCAGTTGAATATGATATCCTTATGAATTCGAAAGAGGGAGCATAAAGAGGTGGACCACAGATGTACCCACATTCTCAGTAACCACAGACAGACTTGCACTTCATGCATTTATTTAGTAAGTTTTGATTAAAGATATGATAAGACGCTTAAACAAATAGACTTAATTGACATAGAGTCATAGACATATGCTTGTAAATACCTTAAGAGTCTGGCTAATGATCAAATCAATGGAATTACAGTTTTACACACTTGATGGGTACTTTGTAGTTCCTAAATTAATCTTAATAAGGGGAATATAATAATCTAAGGGAAGTATGCTAGGTGAAATTGGAATCCCAGCTTTAAATCCTTTGATAGTAATTCTAATCATGCTCGTCTTTATCTTAGTTGCATTTTTCTTTTGCTCTTTTATTCCTTTACATCAAACAAATAATTTCAACACCATAGGCTTCCAGATTAAGAGAAAATTAATTAGCAAAATAATAATCCTCGAGGGATTGACACTTTCACATATATTATTTATTTGACATCAATATATAGAAAATGGTCATCAATAGCATACTATATTAGGCATAGAAAGTGAAAGCATAAATAGCATTGACACCGAAAAGTTAGTTAAGACTTAAGAAACTTACTGCAATAAGGCCCCCACTGCCAGGAAAACTCTCAGTTAGAGGAAGCTCCTCACTGTATGGAAGCAAACCCTGCTTCTCAACCCATTGGTACGCAACATCAACAAGATTACCGCTGCTTCCTCTTGTACCCTCTTTTGCAGCAATATCAGATTTGTTACCAATAACAATATATGGAACAGGTAGACCACCAGGGCCAGCAGATCCTAAAGGTGCTGAAAACGTCCCTGTTGCAGCAATCTCAGCTGCCCATTTCTTCAAGCTAGCCTTTGTTCTTCTCTGTGAAAGATCGTGAACAAAAATTACTCCTGAAAATGAAGTTCAAACATGAATCCTAAATTAAAAAATTAGACAACTAACTCTCAAATATGCATTAACTGTTAAGGCTCACTAATTACACCCAAATTATAATTGTGAAAATTCCAGCAAAGCCAAATGTTATTAAATAAGGGGAGGATGCAATTATAAATAATAGTACTAAAAGGGTTGATCATATCCTATGAAGACTAAATGGATCAAAGTTTTAGATCAAAATTTTAATCTGATTCTATTTATTTTGAGTACACAAGACTTGAGAAAAAGAAAGATATATTGGCCGTTTAAGTATTCAAAATCTTTTTACTCATTGTTTTAAACTTCCCGATTTTAGATTGAATATACACAATTTCTTACAAATGTGTAAGCAACTGTAGATTTAGAAATAACTATAAATAAAAGAGAAGCTCTAGTACTCACCATTAATCTGCGAATAAAACAGAGAACGACAATCTTTGTACCGATCATGTCCTGATACATCCCATAGCTCAATGAAGAAATCTCTCTCTGAGTCACCTTTAAGGCTACTTGAGGAACTGCTAGAATTTCCATAAGTAGTGTGCTGGAGAAGGCAACCATGAAAATTTATCTAAGTCTTGAATGGCAGCAACAATAATATTTTTCTTAACCGGGAATAGAGAATGAAGAATTTTTACCTTCACACCAACTTCACAACCAATTGTCTGAGGAGGGTGAGGGATGGAAGAACCTTTAACGATCGAGTGAACTAGAGAACTTTTCCCAACACCTGAAGATTTAGACAATATAACATATCTTGAGTTTAGATCATTATAAAAAATGGCTATAGAGGGTAGAGCGAAGGGGTGTGACAAGAAATCACGTGCTCAAAAGAATAAATTTTTTTAACCATTGACCTACAATTCCGGGAACAGTCTCTCTGCAAAAATACAAAAGTAAAGTTGCGTATAAGGATTGCCCTCACCACTTTTGTACAAGGATTGACCTAGAATTCTTTTATAGAAAAATAAATATTATTAGAAACAAAGGATAACGAAGAGGGTGAGTCTTGGAGTAGTGGTAAGGTTGCTTCTTTGTGACCAAAAGGTTTGACTCTAGGAAACAACCTCTTTGCAAAAAATGCAAGAGCAAGAGTAAGATTGCTTACAATCTATCATCATCCCTACGTTGCAAATTTGGGGAACCATGTGCACTTGGGTTTGCCCTTAGAAACAAAGGAGATTAAGTACAACTAAAAGGAGCATAAGCAATCCTCCAAAAACAAAAGCAAAATTCAACAGAAAACAAGAAAAAGAACAAAAGAAATAAAAAATGTTGCCAGATCTCTATACATATCAGAAATGACATCTGCCTAGAAACAACCATTAGAAGATGAGAGAAACACATAGAATTTAGGTAGAACCAGAAGGAACTATAGCTCTCATTCAAGTCTCTGGAAAAAGTGAAAATGTGAAGATAAATGAGAGCCTTGAGAAGAAACAAAACTTTCTAACATGCAAGGTGGAGATATGATAAAGGGCAAGGAATTGAGGAAAGACCCCCAAAATGCAACCCCCCCCGGCCCCAATATCCTCCCAGAACCTGATGTGATAATCATCATCCAAACCTGAGAAATCAGAGGTCTGAATGAAGTTTTCTTTGAGAGATAAACTTCAAGAGACCAGCACAAGTAACACTGGTCATTGGCTCGATGTGCAATCTGATTAAAGCAAAAGTTGTACAGAACTAGACAGAAAAGAGTGATAGAAGAAAGAAGAGATAAAAGAGAGGAAGAACGATTCTTTATTTATATTTCAGTACAAGAGCAAGCTCTTCTCAAGGGGATTTCCCCTTCACACTGAGAGAAGTCTCAGTCAACTAACAATTCATCCTAGATGCTTTCCCTTTAGAGATAGTCTCCCTATATACCTTTACCCTGTTTACACTACCCTGTTTCCCGCCAGTATCCTAAACAACTAATCACTTTGCTAACTGACCTGGCACCTATTAATAACCAACCTACTGCTGTTTGGGTATATTCCTGCGGGAATATACTATATACCCATAATATGAAGTTGATCCTTTTAGAGTTTAGACATGACTAAATAAATTTTTTTTATAAAACTCCGGCCAAAAAACCATTTCTATTTTTGAATTTCTATTACCTTGAGCATAACACACCATATGCCAGTTAATACAAACAACACAACTCTTGGAGTCCCCATTGGAAATTAGAAAGCTTTCACCATAGTTATTACTTTTCTCAATCCCTTAATATGAGATTTTGATCAGCTTTATCATAAAGTTCCAGTGGTAACAATAAACAAGGAAGAGAGACAAAATCATATTACCTGAGTCACCAACAACGATTACTCTGACCTGCCCGCATAACGGCCCACTGTTGAACTCTCTGCTTTCCCTCCAGAACATGTTTTCCTCCACAATCACTTAACGAAATCAACTCCAAATGCAAGCACACAAGCAAAAACACAAACAGCTTCACTACACATGCACCGGTCAAGTTCCCTCGAACGGATTCAACCCCGACAACCACAAAAGTACCAATTTTTTAATTTTGAAATCCATGCTATACGAGAATAGGCCAATCTCAGAGGAAAAAAGATGATACGCCGTTATTACACATCTCTGAAGAAACCACTATGAAGTAAAAACCCAACGCATAGCTCAGAAAAAGTAACCGCTTCGCCCAACGGATCTTACAAGAAATTGTGAAGTGGGTAACAGAAAAAAGGAGGTATAGATCAAAGATTTATTGGAAGGGAATATAATATACAGATACTGTCATCAAACGTTTGGATCAGATCAGGTGAAGGTGAAGGAAACTAAAACACGACGCCACATCCGTGTAAACAAAGCGAGCAAAAAGCAAGTGAATGCCTCATTTTTTTTTATTTTTTTTTTGTAACATTTAAAAAAATAGAATTGATATTTAAAAAAACAAGTAGAATTGCATGCAATAAATTAGTAATGTAATAATTTAATAGTGTTTGTGACATAAGTTATGTCATTTTAGGAGAGATATAGAGACAGAAAAATAAAAATTATGGGAGAGAGAAAGTGGATGATTTTTTTTAATTTAAAATTTAAATAATTTTTTTTTCCTGTGTTTGTCTCTCTCTTAAAAGGAAAGAGTGTTATGTCATTTAAAATGACAAACACTTTTCTCTTTAACAAATATAATTTTCACAAAATGATTATATATAGAGATAAATTATTCTACCTATTATTTTTTTCTATCTATCTTTGTCTATCACTTTACATTATTATATAAACGAGGTTTAAACTATCATACTTTATTCATTAATTTTAAAAATATAAAATTAATAAAAATGTTACTTTGCGTTGATAGCTATTTTCTATACACTAGTATAAATAATAGTTGAGCCATAACTTATTAATCAAAATATTCAATTTTTTAATTGTTAATAGAAAATTATCCTACATATCAATAATGGAAAATTAGAATTTTTTTTTGAAGGTTAGAATTATTATTTTTTACGCCTTAACTAAAGAGGCAAAAGAGTTAAGCAGTGTTATACTGCTATTAAATAAAATAAAAACATTAATAGAGTGAAAGAGTAATACATACACACACATATATATATATATATATATATATATATATATGGGAAAAAAGTATCTAATGTTATTTTAAACAATTTTATCTAATGTTCATCGAAAGACGTCGTTTTAAGTTTGTAAAATTAAAAAAATTAGAATGATAAAAACTATTATAACCCTGAAATAAATTAAAATTACAAAAGCACCATGATTTTCATCCCAAAACGACGTCGTTTCGATGAACATTAGATAAAGTTATCTAAAGTAACTTTAGAAAAAACACACCCTATATATATATATATATATATATATATATATATATTTGTAATTATGGGTATTTAATAATTTTTAACTTTTACAAAATTTTAAATAATAATTATTTCGAAACAAAAAAATTTCCATCCTATATAATAATTGATTTTGCCATTCGGACAAAACAATCGATGCGTTAGGGAAATGTGTACCCTTGTTAGGCCTTTTGCAAACTGGTGGGGTTTCTAGTTTTTGGAGATAAGCATCCAAGACAAGAAGTGCATGGTCGGAGAAGGCTGGCTTCTTGGTCGTCAAATTTAACCGGGCAATTTAAAAGGACTATGGATACCACACTAACCACTATTTGATATAGTCCAATCTTTAACCTAGACTTTTTTTTTTTTTTTTTTGGTGAGCAATCTTTAAGCTAGACTTTGATCCCACAGTATGAGGATATAAACTTGAGTAACCTTGGCTACTCATTTAGTAGATTAAATTAATCAACAACTAATACATTATTAATATATAACACAAAAATTTATGTAATTAATTATTGATATAAAAATGATAATGTATTACTATTTGTTGATTGGTAGGCAATATACGTCAATTTGTTTATAAATATCGGATAGTGAAAGCATAAAAAGGGGGTTGGAAACACTAGTGCACATATATATATTTGTTCAGAAACAACGAGATTTCTAGATTAACTTTGTCTCTATATCCTTTTATTTTTATGGATCACGTTGAGTTCTATAAACTAAAGACAAGGTCATTCTCTTTTTCATTACTTTAATTTATTTTGTTTTGAATGATTTTGATTATTTCTTCTTTGTACTTCTCAAGGAGATGATAACTATATCTGTATGATTAAAAATTTAGAAGTAGTTGTTATAATTAAAGGCTTGTATGAACTTGTACTGACAACCCTAATATATATTTTTTATGTAACGGAAGTAGGTACTTTCTAACCAAAAAAAGGAAAAAAAAGATACGGAAACAAATAATCATAAAAATAGGGGTAATATAAATGAGTTATTTTTACTATATTTAATAAAAAATGTACAAAGTATTCGTACTATGTTATAATTGAAGCCAATTGAAGTTTTAGAGTACAGAAGCAACTGATTTGATTGGCAATCATCATACAGTTAACAGTTAGAGGCATATATAATTATGATTAATTAGATTAATGCGATGATAGCAAATAGCTTACTAACTTAAGACCTTCCCAGCATTTTCTTAAGAGGAGCTAGAGAGATGCAAATGCTGGGGTGGTACTTATAGTTGGTCACTCGGTATTGGGGTGTCTTGCATATATATATATATATATATATATATATAATCACTAATTCACTATACATATGAAGACAAGTATATAATATAGGGGCAGGTTACGTTTACAACTTTTTTTTGTTTACAACTCTTATAATCTCAACTATATTTTTTCGGGAGTACACTCTCCAAAAGTGTACTCCAAGGAAAACATAGTTGAAGTTGTAAAAGTTGTAAATATATCTAGGAATTAGCAGATAGGTTTGCAGAATCTTGCCGCGCCCAATCATAAGAATGAACCAAGGACATTTGGTTGTAGTAGACATTACAAGGACTCTCATGATTGTGGACACCTTCATAAGTTGTTAACACATAGCTCGAGTCATCCCTATCCCTTTCCACCCTTTTCTTCACATTACACCCTTCACACGAACACTTATAGTAGTTCCTGTCATCATTAATGGTTTGAAATCAGATTCTATTTATTTATTAACTGAAACTCAACAAATTTTTAATGGAAGAAATTAAGCTGTAAGATGACTAATTAAATGGATGTGACAAAATAACGCCAGTAAGGACAAACGGTATATATACATAGAATTTGTCCCCATTTATATTTCTATATATTCACAAAGTTATACGATGATGGCTAATGGATCTAACCGCTGCATAGAGGAGATATGTGCTGTTGATGATGCCAAACTATGTGACGAGACCTAGCTAGTTTTCTTTTCATTTATTCATCAATTTATTGATTACTTGACTAATCTCCAACTCTGTTGAACCCATATTAAGGATAGGGAGCGGTTCTCTCAAAATTATTTTTTCGAGTTTCAAGACTCTAAATTCATGATTTCTAATAAAGGAGAATAAACTGGAACCAATGATTATTCAAGATGTAATCTACTTTTGTTTTGCAAAGATGTAATATTTTTTAATAGAAAAGTTCAAAAACCCTTGTGGTTTAATTTTTTTATCACTTACCTTCTATGCTTTTTTTTTTTTTCTTATTACTTACCTTGCTTATGTTTAATTTTTTTCATCCAAGTCCACCTTTAACATTGTTAGTAATTGAACTAATCTTCCATTTTACCCTTATTTTATCTGCATAAAAACTTGTTAATTTGACATAAAGATCTTGGTCACCAGCAACAAACTTCGATGATTTAGTGGTTTTGACCAAAATTCAAATGATAGATTAGTGCTTTTTGAAGTAGCCAAAACAAGGATAAATTGGAAAAGTTAGTTCAATTACTGAAAATATTAAATGCGGACTTGGATGAAAAAAATTACAGGAGTAAATGATAAAAAAATATATAAGATTTAAGTGATAAAAGAATGAACCAGGTGAGGGTTTTCGAACTTTCTCCCATTTTGAATGAGTCCACACAACCTTGAGAATATTTTGACACTTGCTAAATTCTATTATGTATGAATACAAAGGCAGTTTAGTGTATTGTTTTCCGTACATTGTACTATAACTAGTAATGGTGTTTAATTAAGCTACCGTTTTCTTCTTGTTCTTTTCCCTAGGCTAACAGTGCCAATTATTTAGCAGGGACTAGTTCGGAATAGTGAGTCAATATGCTCTCTCGTGGTCTGTTCTCACAGACACACCCACGTTCACAAAGAGATAATACTTAATTGCAAATAAAACACCATCTTGCTACTTTTATCAATTCAGGCACAAAGAAACGAACCTCACATAAACTGAGCATATAGAGTTAATTAATTTAAGACCATTTGCTTCTTAAGCAGCCAAAAATGCATACATCTATGATTGGGTCCATTGGTAACACTCCAACCACATATATTATTAATCCCAAAGGGTCCTTGTCTCCCTCCATTAATTGGTATATATATATATATATATATATATCAGCCGCCACAATGTTCATATTTACTTATCAGGCCCACTATCCTATCCTAGTAACAGTGTTACATTTGACATGATTTCCGATGAGCTATTAATGTAAAGTGCTAGCTAGCTACACATTAATTTGTTCAATTTACATGCTTCTAAATTCACCAGCTTAGATCCTACCATATTCTTCAAAAATAAGACATGTAATTAGTATATATCGATCATATTCATGACGACACAGGAAGAAAGTTAAATAAAGCATTAATTAATTAACTTAAATATATTATATAGTTTTGCATCTTATTTGGCATTTATACCTTGGGTTCGGACTATTCTTCACTGACTTCTTTCCGTACTTCCTCCATTTGTATCCATCATCCATAATTTCAAGCTGCGATCTGGTTCTAAACGTGATCCTTGAGCTCACTTCTACCCTGTTTAGCTTTATCCCATTTTTGCATTTTCTGTGTCCAAGGAATATTCATCACATATCAATAATTAAAATACCGAAGATAAATTATTATATATACACTCATACATATATAAAACAGCATTTAATACACGGTATACCATTTTCTTGTTTGATTAAAAAAAAAAAAAAGGAACGAAAGAAGAAGCACTTACATGTTATTGTTATTAGTAGAGGTTGCATCACCAAGCCCATTACTTGCATTGCTGGAGGCTGGTTTCTCCGATGATTCTGTTTCTGTACTTTGTGACCAAGACTCTTGATGATCAACGACATCATCGAGCATGAGATAATCAGATAACATGAACTCAGAGGAGGAAGGAGTCATAGAGTGACCGTAATTAGGGTTTCCAAAATAGTAGTCCATCGCAAAATAAACGCAGGTATGGTGATAGATAGATGCGTGAGTAAAAGATAATGCAAAGACCGAGAGAATTTGGTCTTTTATGAGTGCTAGGTGCCAGTGGATATATTATTATAATATATGTATAAAAAAAAGCACTTTAATTTCTTTCATAAAATGTTTGCTTGGAACGACCCTTCCAAACACCTTCCTGTGGGATGCACCGAAGGCTCCTCCCTGAGCCACGTGTCAACATCAAAGAAGTTAAGGTGACCTCATTGTGGAATCTGTGATGACGTAGCAGCTGGGTCATCAACACAAGGATACCATAATAATAATAGTATTATTATTATAGTAAATACCTTTTTTGGTCCTCAGCAAATATCACCATGCCCGTTTTAGTCCCTAGCAAATAAAAAGGCCCATAGTGGTCACTAAAAAATTTAAAATGGATCCATTTTAGTCCTTTTGAGGGACTAATATGAGTTTTTTTTGAATTTGTGAGGGACCACGATTTCAACTAAATAGGTTCATTTTGAATTTCTTAGGACCACGATGAGCCTTTTTATTTGTTAGGAACTAAAGCGAGCATCGTAAAATTTTCTGAGGATATTTACTCTTGGCGATGCCGACGCATATATATGGTGGTGGTGGTGTCACGACTTGTCCAACCTTATATAGCATTTACCATTATTCATTATGGTTTTCATTGTCTTAAATCAAGTAGCTATCCATGAACAGCACTTGTGGGTCGTGGCTGCTTATCTGCAAATGGGTATATCAAGGCAACTTCTGCGAGCCACACTCACTCACTCACTAATATATTTTTACCTCTGAATGCCCTCGTATTCAACACTCTCACATTCCTATTGTGATAATTTTAAACGTTCCTATAAATATAATCGTTTATAATTACTTTTAGTTTTTGTTTAAAGGTGTTAGAGGATAATGTAAACCATTAAAAAAAACTCTCACTCAACACCTTAGAGCTTGTATGGAGAGTTAGTTTTAAGAAGAAAAGAAAAGGAAGAAAAAAGTTTTATTAATCCATTTTCTTGTTTGTGAGTTTTAAAAAGTGAGGGGAAGGATTTAAGGATTTTCACAAAATCCTCTAAAATCTTTCTTGTTTTTAAAATTAAAGTTGTCCCAATTTGGAGTTTTAACTCTCAAACAAAAGGAAGGAAATACGCTTACCAAATAAAAAAAGAAGAAGGGAATACCCTTTTATATATATATATATATATATATATATATATATATATATATATATAATGGTGACACTGAACCTATTTTTTTATATATATAATTCTTTATAAATCAATTCAAATGACTTGGGGAGTATATATTTTTGAAAATGCTATTTTCACTCTTATATAATAGGTAAGATGTTGTTGCACCAATCAGTATCTTCAAATATTGTCTTAGTCAATTTCATCATTGACTCTAATACTACCATTACGCATGGTCAACGGGGGAGTTAGGGCGGAAGCATCACTATTATTAATGACCTAAAATCTTAAGGACGATGATTAGCAAAAAAAAAAAAAAAAATCTTAAGGACGAATACTTATATAATACTTGATTTATTTCTAACTGACGTAGGAGTTCATATTGCTCATATATATTTGAATTTCCAACAAATTCATCGTAGAATATTGTGTTTTAATATTATCCAAGAATCCAAGATGATATGCTTGCAATAAAAATTAAGTTTAATTTAAATCGTGAGATATCTGAGAATATAGGAATGTTTTATATTTATATATACCTTTTATCCTGAAACTCCAAAACAACTATAGAAAATACTGAAACATGTTATATATTAAAAAGGTCTTTATGTGAATTACATTATTTTATGTTGTAAGTTTAAATGGGGGTTAAATTTAAACATTCAGAAGAATATAATCTAGGAAAAAGGAGTGATCTAACCTTTGTATCCGAACAACATATTTATCTTTATGTTAGGTCGCTTTAGCTTTCGTTATTATTAAAAGTTCAGTTCACACTTCTTTTTCTCTTCTCTTTATCATTCTTTTAATGATTTTTGGGGTTGTTATGACTTAATATTAAAATAAAAAGGAAATGCCATTGTTATATATATATATATATATATATATATATATATATATATATATATATATATATATATATATTTAATTTTACCTCCCTGTTATTCAAAAGTGTTCAGATTCACATTTTGGTAATGATGACTCGTGACTCTTGACGTGTTCTTTTTCCGATGGTTGACATAAAAATTATCATTTCCTTCATTGTTACCAGCGGTTTATTTAAATTGGTTGGTATCATACATACTGTACGGGTTTATTAATTTTATGTAAAGACTACAAAAATATATATGATATTTAGCCACGTTTATAAACGTCGCTAAAGTGAAAATAAAATGTGGCTAACTAAAATAACCACACTTTCCCTAAATGTAACTAATAATGGGTCGCAATATTTTTGTCACATTTATTGGTCAATTTGGCCACATTTTATTTGATTGTGGTAACATTCATTTAGCTACAATCATGGTTACCTTTGGCATAACCGTGGCAAAATTATTATTATTTTAAAAAAAAAAAAGTATAGCCAAAATATAGCATGGTAACAAATTGATGCTTGGTTATTGGATCAGGTATCATCAAAAGAAGGGTTCAAAATTGTATTTGAAGATGACAACCAAAAGGTGCAAACTATTAAAAGTAATTTATTAAATAATTGCTCTACTTTTAAATGTAAATAAAGATTTGTTGGGCCAACTGAAGCTAGGCCCAAACGTATTACAAGGAAGCCTTCTTACTTAAGGGATTATTTCCAATAGTCCAGTAAGGTGGATCTGATGACAATTATAGCTTTTAGTAAATGTATTAACAGTAAAGAAAACCTATTGTAAACAGAAGAGATATAAATAGCCCAAGAGGGGCGGGAATGAAAATTCAGAAAAGATTTAACAATTTCTCTCTCTCACCTTTTTCTTCTTCTTTGCTAAATTCTCAGATCTGAGTTTTACAATTGGTGCTTTCATTCTGTCTCATCTCCTGCGATGGCAGAGAACACACACATGAAGGACTTCCAGCAGCGTTTAGATACTTTAGAACAGCAGTTTCGTGCATCTGAATTAGTAAGGGACCAACAATTCTTGGCTCTGCAAGAATCTAACTCTCAGTTTAGGGAGTCACAAATCCAGATGCAAGAATCCAAAACTCGTTTTCATCAGGATCTTGCCCGTTTGATAGATATTAAGCAATCATCACCAAATGGCAGAGGACTTCTCGATTCTGGGCCTTCTACCGGATCTACTGCCGGATCTGATTCCCACAGATTCAGGCAAGTCAAGCTGGACTTTCCCAGGTTTGCCTCTGGTGATCCCACCACTTGGATTATAGCTGTTGAACGCTATTTTGCGTTTTATCAAGTTCCCGTTCCGGATCGTCTCAACTTGCCTGCATTCCATTTGACCGATCCTGCCGACAACTAGTTCTATGGGGCTGATCAAAATGGTCTATTGACAGACTGGCAAACGTTTTGTGCAGCACTCCAACGCCGTTTTGGACCTTCAGAATTTGAAAACCCAGCAAGAACCCTAGCTAAAATTCACCAATCTGGGTCGCTCTTGGAGTATCAATCCTGTTTTGAGAAACTGTTAGTAGAGTTCCTGGCCTTTCAAACACTATGGTCCGTAGTATTTTTATATCTGGTCTTAGACCCCATATACGACATTTTGTTCTCACACACCGCCCTCGAGATTATCATGAGGCATACTCTTTGGCTAGAGTATATGAAGATCAATGAACTGACCTTAAAACTTACCGTCCTTGGAACAGTTCACCTAAATCCCCTGTGACCCACACTTCTACTGCCTTTATCACTAATCCTACCACATCTACATCTAACCCCATTCCAGCCATACCTATTAAACGCCTCTCCCCTGCTGAACGACAACTAAAACGAGAAAAAAATCTATGTTATAGTTGTGATGAGCCTTATTCGTTTGGCCATAAATGTAAAGGACATGAAACACTCCTCTATCTGGAGGGTACCGATGAAGACCCTGGACCAGATCCAGGATTACCTTTGGAGGAGACCATTGTTGAGAGTGTTCCTCCAGAAATCAGTTTTCATGCACTATTTGTCACCACAACTCTAGATCTTTTCGTCTCACGGGAAAAATCAAAGGTAAATCAGTTCAGCTTTCTAGTTGATGGTGGTAGTACCCACAACTTCATAACGGATCGTATGGCATCGTATTTGGGTCTAACTATGCAGCATCTCACCCCATTCCAAGTCCATGTTGGCAATGGAGATATGCTCCAATGTACTGCGTTATGTAATCAGGTACAGTTGGATTTATAGTCTCATTTGTTTGCGGTGGAGTTGTTTCTCCTAGATCTCGAGGGGGCTGATGTGGTGTTAGGAGTCCATTGGTTAGCTACGTTAGGCCCTATTGTGACCGATTATGCTAATATGATGATGTCCTTTGATCACAAGGGGTGCACTGTGCTTCTCAAAGGTGACAACCCTCTGACTCCTGCCCCTATAACCAATGCCCAACTACACAAACTTGTGACCCATGATTCTGTTTCATCCTGCTTTATGTGTCTTGCCAGCCCCGTGACCTCATCCACAACCACTCATATACCACCATCTATTCAAACCATTTTAACTCAATTTCAAGACATATTCCAGGTTCCTAAGTCACTACCTCCTGACCGCCCATCCAATCATCATATACACCTTCCTCTTACATCCAAACCCATTCAAGTTAGACCTTACCGTTACCCTCATTTCCAAAAAACAGAAATTGAGAAACTGGTCAGTGAAATGTTAGACAGTGGCCTAATCCAACCGAGCCAATCACCCTTTAGCTCCCCTGTTTTCTTAGTCCGCAAAAAGGATGGCACGTGGCGGTTCTGTGTCGACTACCGCGCGTTCAATGCTATCACTGTGCCTGATAAGTTCCCTATTCCTACAGTGGATGAATTGTTAGATGAATTACATGGTGCTCACATTTTTTCCAAGTTGGATCTCAGATCAGGCTATCACCAAATTAAAATCGCTGATGTCCACAAAATGGCTTTTAGAACTCATTATGGGCATTTTGAGTTTCTAGTTATGC